CAGTGGGGCCTATTGACATTCTTCCAGTTCTGCCCCCCAGGATGCTCTCAGACTCACCCATCTACACCCCTGGGGGAACTTGAATTACGCAGTAAGCTAAAGCAGGTAGAAGGACCCACTGGGTGGATCCACCTCCCGGATGGACGCACCCTAGTACCCGGTGCCCTAGGTCGAGAACTAGTCTCACTAGTCCATCAGAGCACCCACCTAGGAGGGACAAAGTTAATTGAACTTTTGAAAAGAGACTATTATATCCCAGGGCCATACAAAACTGCCAAAGAGGTAACAACAAGATGTCATATTTGCGCCCAAGTTAACCCTGGGCCTCCTGTGGAAGTACAAATTGGATCAAGACTCAGGGGCCAAGCCCCGGGAGAACATTGGAAATTAGACTTTACAGAAATAATCCCTGGAACTTTTGGATTTAAGTCTCTACTCATGTTCATCGACACCTGCTCAGGATGGACTGAAGCCTTCGCGACTAAGAGAGAAACTGCTCAGGTAGTAGCTAAGAAATTAGTATCAGAAATAGTACCCCGATTCGCCTTGCCATTAACACTGGGGTCCGACAATGGCCCGGCGTTCATCGCCAAAACAAGTCAAACCTTAGCCAAAATGTTAGGTATTAATTGGGAACTACACTGTATATATAGAACTCAGAGTTCAGGCCAGGTAGAAAGAATGAACAGGACATTAAAAAAAACTTTAACCAAGTTTAAACTTGAAACTGGCGAGAACTAGGTGAGCCTCCTCCCCTTTGCCCTTCTTAGGGTGAGATATACCCCTTACCTCCAAGGCCTCACCCCATATGAAATCACTTTTGGGAGACCGCCACCTCTCCTACCCAAGATAGAGGCAGAAAAGGCCACTGAAATTCACAATTTCTCACTACTTAAGACCTTACAGGCACTACACTTGGCAAGAAAAGAGATTCGACACTTAGTCTCCGCCACCCGGGAGACCCCTGGACAGTCACTTAAACCTCATAGCCACAGTCCTGATGACTGGATTTGGGTAAAGAAGGTACAGCCTGCTTCTCTTGAGCACCGCTGGGACGGACCTTTCCCTGTCATCCTCACAACACCCACCTCAGTCCAGGTAGATGGACGCCGTCATTGGATTCACCATACCAGGATCAAGGCTGCGCATCCACCACAGACATCAGAACAATGGACCCTGCGTCAGACAGAGGACTCACTAAAGATAAGACTATCAAGGGTCCAGTCTGGACCATCTTAATTCTCTCCGTCCTAAAGTAAGGGGGTCTTTGTATGACTTTTAGGTGAAACCTGACAGAATAGGAGAGGATTAGACCTACTGTTAACCTACATATGTCAAAAAAGGGTGCAGGCAGTGAAACTCATGCTTCTCAGAACTCAATACCCACTGCTCCAGGTTGAGGAATCAATGATTTGAATTCTAAAAAAACCAGTGGCGAATGTTAAGGGTATGTTTAGGGGCAAAGATATGCTAACAGCCAACTTCTGCTTCTGTAATCTGCTTGCTTGTTTGATGTTAACTAGGGTGTGGTTAATCTGTTTACTTGTTTGATGTTAAACCAGGGTGTGGTTCTAGGCTTTATGAGCTGCCTCTTTTGGGAGCTCAGGGCTGATCTCCTCTAACCCTGCATGGTAGAGAGTCAGTCGCCAGCCGGCTAATAAAGGCTCATAATTCATCTCAATTCGCTCCGTGGGTCTTAGAATTGATCGCGCCACAACAAGAGCTTGTCTAATTTGATGATTCTAATTTAGAGACATTTTTGTTGCCAAACTTAACATATTTTTATGTGTTAAAAAGAAACAAAGGACCCAAAAGGGACTCACTTTTGCTAAGCCCACCAAGACTTAATATCTAACCTAACTGCAGTTTCAGTCTCTCCCAGGAGTGGAATTTTAAATCAATCAGTCTGGAATTTCCTGGTCAGCATTAGTGATGTAATCTGCCTGATAAAACACCCTACCTTCCCTTAAGGGAAGGTAACCTTGCTAAAATAATCCACTCTTTTAACTTTCTTGTCCTACCCTCCTTCTGGCTGTAAAAACCTTTCATTTTGTACAACTTCTCAAAGAGTCCTAGTTGCTAGATGGGATGCTGCCTAACTCATGAATTACTTAATAAAGCCAATTAGATCTTCAAATTTACTCAGTTGAATTTTGTGCTTTAATATGTGGAATTAAACATTTTTGGAAATTGTTGAATGTTTCACTTGATTTTTAGTAGTAGACATATGTAATTACAATATATAAAGTTGGGGACTTTGGCATGAAACTAAAGGATTTAAATATTTGTATGAAAAACTGTATGGAAGATTGTCAATTTTTAATAACAATCTATAATGCTTTAATTATCTGTGTTACCTAAGAAAAATTTTTTAGAAATTTTCCGAAGGTTACTGAAAATTAGTTGTAAAAGTCTTAATAGCAAAGGATAAAGTTAATGTAGAATCTGCTGTAGCTAACGATAATATAACAGCAAGATTGTATAACTGCTGGTATTTTAAGGATCCTATGCTTGAGGGTCTAGTTTGTACCATGAAGGGTATGGCATGTTTCAGGAAATAATCTAAAAAGTTGGAATATTTTAGTTAATTTTGTTATTTACTGTCTGTTTTCTAATGTTGGACTCTTTTTTTTTTTTTTTTACTATTTGAGGGCATTTCATACCTATAACTTGCGTTTTTAAATTTGTCAGAGGAATTCAGTGTTTGAAAAGTATCGCTCTGCCAGTGATCTGATATTACTCAGGATGCTTGTTTTTTTTTGTCTTTTTTTTCTCCCCACTAGAATTGTTTGGGAGGACCCTATATTCTTTTATTTTGGGGGATATAGGAAAAACTATGTATGTCTCTAGCATACCTTTCCGGATTACTAGATTGTAGCCTAGTCATTGCCTTTGAGTTATTTTATTGTTCTTTGTAAGTTGTAGGTAACAGATACATAACTTCTGTCCTATCTGATAGCGATTATAATTGGCTCCCTCATCCTATCCATGGAAAAATCAGCTCTGTCCCATTTTGCCTGGTTTCTTCAAATTATATGAATGAAATGAATTCTTTAATGTTTGTCCATTTTTTATATCTGCACAAAAGTCACGATTTTATCTTTTTCAAAAAATCAAATTTTAATAGAGGCCTGGCAATTTGTACCTAAGAACCTCATAGAAACGAATTCTCACTGTAGACTTTCAGTCTCAAGTCTCACTAAAGCGTCCAGGACCTCTGAAAGGAAAGGCAGTCCAAGGTCTTTGGAGGTATAAGAAGACAGTTGCCAGGCAAACCAAAATCTTGACCAAGATGGTATGAAGCCCAAGAAGTAAATGAGAAAGTAGATCAACAGCAGACTGTGATAATAGAATGTGAGAAACCTTTGGCTTATTTGGGGGTGGGGGAAAAAAGAGTCCAACAGGATATTTGCAGCACTCTATATCCAGAGTCTATTGTTTTGGAAAGCATTGCGTGGAGAATACAGAAGTAATTACAGAATCTCATAAGCTCTTCAAAATTTTTGGTTCAAACACTCTGTATTCTGGGCCTCAAGTTAGATTCCTTAGAACTCTGCAACAAGATGTCCTCCCCAGCTAGACTTTCTACTCACCAGCCAGAGAAGAAAATTCCAGGAGGGTAATGAGACAAGACCAACGAAAAAACCCAGGGTCTGCCATTATGCTAGCAAGAACTTGAGTGTCCTGGTTTAATAATGACCTGTTTTCTTTAATGTTGTATGGCTGTCTTTACTGATCAGGAATTAATTCTGGTTGTAGTATTCACTTGGAGATTGATACTGGTTTGTTAATAATAATTTTTGCATTAAGACAAGTTCAGTCTGCAGCCCCAGAAGCCTTTGTGCAGATTTAATTCAGGAAACTGCCCTAGATTCAGACCAAATCAGAAGTTGCTCCTGAGGCAATGACTCCCTTTAGGCTGCCTCTTAAAATAAATAACAGTAATGTGCTCTTGCCCAGCCCCTTCATCTGCATTATCTTATTATAGAGACAGGAGGCACACTGTGGAAAGGACACCAATTTGGAGTCAAGAAGTCACAGAACAAGCTTTGTTTCTGACACTTATTTGGTATGTAAATTTTGGGCAGTCACCCTCTCTGAACCTTAGCACCTATATTTCTGTAAAATGAAATCAGTAATAATCCCAGCTTTTCAGAGCTGTGGAGAACAAAAAGATATATATTTTCAAATTTATAGGATTGATACATAGAGCCAATGGAATAATACAAATATTAATATGATCATGTAATCTGTGTTTTCTAACATGGAAAGATGGCCAGGTATAAAACAGTATGTTAAAGTATGACCTCATTTATGGTCCTGTGGAAAAAATAGTAAAAGGTTGTAACTAAAAATTAATAATACCTATCCCTAGGTAAGAGAATTATGAATGACTTTTCTTTTTTATACTATTTTTGGTATTTCAAATTTAAGGAAAAATAATGTATTATCAATGTGTTACAAATAAAGAATGCTATCTCCAATTTAAAAATTAACATTGATGTCTGTGATTTTAAATAGGAGCAAATTGTTTATGATTTTAACATTACTGAATGTTATCTGGATATAAATTATATCCTGTTGTTCTGTAAAGGGAATAACAATGGAGGTAAAGAGGTCAAAATGTGATGGCTGGTTAAAGGACAATTATGGGACATTCCAAATGTGCAATTTCCTACCTTCTGCAACCCAGAGTTGGCCATGGAGAATGTTCCTGGATGATTCAGTCTTTCTCAAATTAAGGGGCTGATAGGGTAAATATGTAAGCATAGATTATAGAAGGATATAAAGAGATATTCTTATTCTATATGTAAAAGACATATTATGGAAAATAATAACAGGAAGAAAGAGGACATCATGAAAATTGTCCAGTCTCATTGTAATTACATGTTGTTGGAATACTAAATGTGGAATCAAACAGGCCACAGTTGAGTAGTGTTGCTACATTCTTTATGTGATGCTTGACCGCTTTGTATTATGATCCTTTTAATTATTTATACTGTTTGGTTTGTATGATAAAGAGGAGTTAAAGCTTATTGCCATATAGACTTGTCTGTGATATTAGCTCCTAATACAAACACCACAACCTGTTTGTAATAGTCAGATATCCAGTCTGGTCAGTGGGGAAATGCTGGGATTTTGCTGTGCTGTTTCATCATGATGCCTTTATACTGATGGTCTATAGGGTGATGTAATAGCCAATGTTTGAAGTACAGCCCTTGAAAAGACCAGTGAAGAATTGCAATGCCTTCTTAGGTCCTTATGAATTTTAGCTGGAGGTTAATGGTTTGTGTGATGCTTGGCCTAGACATTCCAATCTGAAGTTGCCTATGGCTCCAGCCAGGCAGACAGGGGTATGGGCTGTTATATGGCACTAGGGGACATCTGCCTGGAATAAGAACACCAACCCAGATGACATGCAAACATTCCACATGTGAGCTGTACCCTTGTCACATCACTGTATGCTTTCAGTAAATGCCTCTGCTAAGGAGAATGTGAGTTATCTAGTTCCTTCGGCTTTCCAAAATCTAACTAAAACAATCTGGATTGGCATATCCAAAAGGTGATATCCAGTCAGCAGTTTGGTGTATAAGTCCAGAACTCATGGAAGAGGTCAGGCTGAAAATATATATAGTGGAGTTGTATTCTGTTCTTACTTATATTCACTCCGCTATATATGCTTGGCAAAAAAAACAAAAACATATTTTTCTTATAACGTGACCCTTAAATGCAAGCCAACAACTTCATCTGGTATTCAACTCAAGAAACAACCTTCTGTTCCAATAGCAGAGGAAAACTGGCTGTGTAGGATTTCTTGACTGATAGTATATATATTCAAAATCATGTATACAGTATTTAAGAGGAGATTTTTTCAAAGGTAATTTTAACCCTATTTTTGCCATTCACATTGACGTTAGATCCTAACCCCCTCAGAAAAAGTCAACCTCCTGTACTTGGGTTTTATTGATATATAGGTGATAGTTGCAGCTATGATCACAAAAGACACTATTCAAGGAGAGTACATAGAGTAAAAAAAGAAGATATCTGAGGGTGGTATCTTAGAGAACATCAATATTTTAAAAGGGGATTAAGAAGTCCAAACTTCCAGTTATAAATCACAGGACTATAACGTACAGTATAGAGAATATAGTCAACAATATTATAATAACTTTGTATGGTTACAAATGGTTACAAGACTTACTGTGGTGATCACTTCATAAAGTATATAAATGTTGAATCATTATGTTGTACACCTGAAATTAAAATAACATTGTCAAGTATAATTTTAAAAATAAAGTAAAAAAGGAGGCAAAAATACGTAGGTAGAAAGGCCCACAAGGATTCTAAGAGAATTAGAAGGAGGACAGGAAAGAATAGTACAATAAAAAAAAAAAAAAAGAAGAGAGTTTCCAGAGAGTGGTTAACAGTACAAAAAATAAAGCAAAGAAATCAAGGAAGATAAATACTGAGAAGTGACTTAGATTCAGAAATTAAGAAGACGTCGGTGA